ACTGCTGCCAACAGTTATAATTACAGTCCTATTGCCACTGTTACTGCTACTATACTGCTACTACTGCTATTACTAATACAGTTCCTGCCACCACTGTTACTGCTACTTATTCTGCCAACATTACTGCTACTGTTACTGCAAATTCTGGAATTGCTAATACTCTACCTGCTGCCAACATTACCGTACTAATACTGCATGTGTTCTTACACCTGTTAATATTGTTACTTCTACTAATACTGCTAGTGCTGCTACCGCTATTAATACTGTTGCTACTATTAATACTTCCAGTGCTGCTACTGGTATTAATACTGTTACTACTAATAATACTGCCAGTGCTGCTACTGGTATTAATACTGTTACTACTAATAATACTGCCAGTGCTACTATTGATATTAATAATGTTGCTACTTCTAATACTGCAATGCTACTGCTGATAATTATATTACAAGTGTTATGTTACTGCTAATATAACTGTTACAAGTATTCTAGGAACGCTACTGGTTATAAATACTGTAACTATACTATTAGTGCTGGTACCGTTATCAATACTGTTACTACTATTAATACAGCTAGTGCTGTTACTGAGAATAATTAAAAACGTTACTTTACGAACTTAAGACACAGACAAAATAATAATAATAATAATAATAATAATAATAATAATAATAATAATAATAATAGTGCTGCTACCCTTTTAATACTGTTACTATTACTAATACCTCCAGTACTGCTCTTGCTGTTAATACTGTATCTGTCACCACAGTAACTAATAATAATACCAATAATGCTGATCATAATATACTCACTACCATCACAGTTACTACTAATAATACTGATGCTGATAATGTACTCGGTACTGCCACTGTTAGTACTAACAATACTCATAATTTTGCTTCTGCTGTTATTACAGTACCTACCGCAGTTATTACTGATAATCATCCTGCTAATTGTCACTGTTATTACTACTGTTATTCCTGCCTCTATTACTTCAAATACTATGAGTAATGCTACTACCATACTGTATTTTCCACTACTGCAGCTTCTCTTATCACAACTGCTGGCACTGCTGCTATCATTCCTGCTCTCACCACTGTTTGCTGCTTAAGATGTCTGCTTTCAGTAATAACACTTATAAACTGAAACAAACCAGAATTCCACTTTAGGGTTTTGTAAACCATTACAGGTGGTTGTAAAGCCTGTAGTGGATCAGACTGCTCTGCACTGGGAATTGGATTGACAGCACTGTAAAGCCTGGAGTGGATCAGACTGCTGTGCACTGGGAGTGAGACTGAAAGCACTGTAAAGCCTGGAGTGGATCAGACTGCTGTGCACTGGGAGTGTGACTGACAGCACTGTAAAGCCTGGAGTGGATCAGACTGCTGTGCACTGGGAGTGAGACTGACAGCACTGTAAAGCCTGGAGTGGATCAGACTGCTGTGCACTGGGAGTGAGACTGACAGCACTGTAAAGCCTGGAGTGGATCAGACAGTTATACAGTGGAAGTCTTGTCTGTTACTCTGAATTGTGTTGGTAGTTGTAGCAGTAACAGTGCTCCAATATAGCTGCAGATCCAATAGTGATGACCCAGGCGTGGTGCAGAGGAAAGTGTCTTTTTTTCAGGATGCGCTCTCCCACATACACACAACTCACCGGCTCAGGCGCATTATTAATGGATTATTGTGTTCGTTGTTAATATTGTAAACGAACTTATTTCGCTCGCGGTGTGCAGCTGTCGGCTCTTGCTCTGATGTTTTCTGCGGAAGTGGGAAAATCTGAACTCGCGGCGCACGCGAGACCCACGTGGGTAGTGCTCGAGCGCGGGCTGTGGCGCTCGTGCAGTCACACGTCACACCTGTGAACCCCGTTGTAGACATCAGGGAAGAGGCGGACACAGCTGAGCTCGGTGAGGCACAAGGACACCGGCGCTCCGCTGCGCACGGTATTCATTGTGATTTAAATTCACTCTTACAGGTTCTATTCCGACAGGTCTGTGTCAGTGGTGTCATTACTATTATTATAGCCGGAACGCAGCGCGGATTCTCGGGGCTGAAGGTCCGGGCCCAGCCAGCGTGCCCGGGGGGAGGGGCGGCGCTCCAGCTGCCGGCAGCTCGGGGAGGGGGGAGGAGGGAACGGCCCCGGGCTGTGCCGGCTCTCACCTGCGCCAGATGGCCGTGATGGAGGGTCGGCTGCCCTCGCACCCGCCTAGCAGGTGACCCTGCGTTATTAGGCGCTGCGCGGCAACAGCTGCCGAGATATATCACTGGGGGGCTCGCTAGTAAGCCCAGAGGTCACTGGCTGAGGCGAACTGAGCGAAATACAGGCATGCATCACTATATACTATATATCACTATATACAGAGATATTGCGCTATATATACAGACGTGTGTCACTATGTATGGGAAATATCACTGTACAGATATATTGCGCTATATATACAGACGTGCGTCACTATGTATGGGAAATATCACTATATATTCAGAGATATTGCGCTATATATACAGACATGCATCACTATATGTACAAAGAAATATATCGGTATATATAGAGACGTATCACTATATGTAAATAGAAATATAGCACCATATATACAGAGATTTAGAACTATATTCAGACGTATCACTATATATACAGAGATATAGCGCTATATATACAGGCATGTATATCTGTAAAAAGAGATATATGTACAGGGATATCTGGACAGACCCATAGACAGGTAGACAGACAGGCAGAGAGGTAGATGTGATAGATACGCAGACACAGGCAGATGTACCGACAGACAGATGGATTGTAGAGCTATAACCTGTAATACTTGGCAATGTGCTGTGGTAATATGTGTCGGAGAATATTCCAAGTACAGAACTGATGACACTGGAACTGAAAGAGAGAGCAATGCAAACGAACCGGTGTCGCGTCGCCCTCGGTAATTTACCCTCGGCTCAGAGTGGGAGAAACTGGGGGGGACGAAAAACAGAATCTGGTAGACCTCGCTGCTTTTCACTCGGTTGTTATAGATATATTATTAATATCACCTATTGTCTTACGATAACGAAATCTAAACTAAAACTAAAGACACCATGAAATATTAACGATGTGTATCTCTCGCCTCTATCTGCTCCATAATATAACGTCAATAACCCGCCATCAATAATTGACGCCTTTCAGGTCGTGATAAATGAAGAAAGACGCCCCCGTTAAGGATGAATTGGTGCGCGCTCACGCGGAGCTGGCGGGAGCGCGGACTGCAGCGCGCCCCTTCCGGAGGTGAAACCCGGCAGCCGGCTGGACTGCCCGGGACTGACTCGGGAAAGAGAGACAGGGGGAGGAACGGGCGGATAACGGGAGAGAGGAGAAAGCGGGAGATATTGAGACAGAGGGCTAGAGAGAGGAAGACATGGGCAGATAATGCGAGAGAGAAGCAGAGACAGAGATACACTTTCTGCGGCACTGTGAGAAATACTCTGGGATGAGACAAACAGTATTCCCTAAAATAGCGAATCTAATCCCAGAATTTCCACACCTGCCAGAACCAGAACAGCTTCCGATCCTACTGGGAGAGGAAACTCAAGAGAGCTGCAGCCCAGCGTGTGATCTCCTGTCACAGCCTGAGGACAGACAGTGAGCCCGTCTCTCAATACTGCTCTTCTGTGTTTGATGTGTTGTAACTGTCCAACTACATGCCTGTATTGTGCAGTTGATGTTGTTAATTGTATTCGCTTTGGCAACAGATCA